TTAGGTTTGTCCATTATCATAACTGAAAACCGAACCAAAATTTACGATTCAGTTTTTTACCAAAAATTCAGTGGTCGGTTCGATTCGGTTTTCGGTTAATCGCAATAAATAATTAATCTTCTCAATAATTTCCAAATTCTTAACTGAACAAAAATTTTGATGTTTTATCCGAACAACGACTTTCTAAATACAATTATCGTTAAATGACATTTCATCTCTTCATCTTCCGGCCAACAGCGCATTCAACATCTTCATATTCATTCTCCTAATCTGCTTTTTTTTTTTTTTTGCGCTCCAACTCCATCTTATCGTTCGATACTTTGGTCATTAAATTATATTCGTTATTTCTTGTAAGTCTTAGTGCACGAATTTCTGCAGTGAGCTCATCAGGAATGAAATAAAATTGTGATGCTACCTTTTTTCCTTTCTTTTTCTCTTATCTCTACCTTCGGGATGGGAAATCGCAAAATCATCACTAACTGGAGTTTCTGGATTTGAGTGAAATGAATAATCTCCATCTTTAGTAGTCCTTGATCTTTTAGAACTTCCATTACTTTCTTCATTACTCACTTCATCTTCAAAACGCGAACGAATTGAATCACGATCTAATTTTAATTCTCATTTGGGATGCTTCATCAACACATGCAAGTCTGTAAACTTGTTACCACTAGCTTCATAAATTATATGAGCTACTTTTTCAACATCTTTCATGCTCATTCCATTCATTTTATTCCTTTATATATGCTTCTATGTATGCACCTCTCCACTTATTTCATTTTCATTAAGACGTTTATAATGACATTTCATTGAATCCAAGTTTCTTTCACAAATTTCTTCTAGATTTTCTAATCGAGATTGTTCAAATATACCTGCTATGCGTGTCCATAAAAAGAACCCTTCTGATTCTTGGCACACAACTTGTCTTTGCTAACGAAACACCAAGCTGAAATTAGAGCAAGATCTTCCGCCACACTCCAACTAATATTTTTTCTTCCTTCTTGAGGATTTGTGCGTGTCTGTTGCACATTTTGAAATAAATTTCTGGAGATGTTTTGTGGGAATTGGGCATTTACAGAAACTGAAAATTGGGTAAGATTCGGAGAAAATGACTCTTGTGAATAATTTTCAAAATTTTGAAAATTTTTAAAGTTCGAAAAAATTTGAGAATTGATGTAATACTCAAAATTTGAATTCATATGTTATTTGTTGAAAATTAGGAAAAATAAAAGAGATATTGATAAAATTAATAAGGTATGATTAAGAAAAAAGTGAAAAGAGAGAAATTCAATTGTGTTCCAAAACACATGAAGAGCAGTCTTTGTTTATAGAGATTGAAAAAAGTACGAATTTTGATATTTTTTATTTTTTAATATAAAATAATATTAATAATTTGAGTTATCTTATCTTATCATTTAAATTATCAAGGGACCAATGAAAATAAGACAAGTGTTCCATTCTCTCCTTTATCTAATAATTGCAAAAAAAATAATAAAATAAAATAAAATAAAAGCATGTGACCAAGTTGCGACCCAAGGTCATAATGTGACAAGGGTCGCGAGATATGCTGCCAATTTTCTTTTTTATTTTGTCTTTTGGCTGGTGGTATTTATTGGGTTACCGATGAAGATAGTCTTATACAATTTTGGGAGGTTTTTTGAGGGTTTTTTTTTTTTT